GGGGGGGGGTCCCTAGACTTTTAATAGCTAGACGTTATATGACATCAGATTTATTTGGATATACATGTATTCACTGTTGTGATAAATTTGTCCTCAAAAGGCAAAAATGGTTGAGGTTAAAATGTCCCTGCATACCATATTAGCAAGATTGAGTAATGAAAACCAAGTCTTGTCATAAGTATTGCAATTGTGAGATTTTTTTAAAGGTAGGGGTTGTAAATTGTGAGTGTGTTCCTCTGGGAGCCAAAACGCTATAAAACTAGTTGGAGTTACATACATATCATAGATGTAGAAGATTGGAAGGGGCAGTTTAATTGGGGGTGAAAAGCTCCCCCCGGAAATGCTGAGGGAGGAGGGAGAAACTCCCAGGCACGTGTTGGAGATCAGAAGGCGATCCCTATGTTACACCTGACAGGTTTACAGGTAAATGGTGTGATGTTAATTAAAACACACCGCACTTAATTAAATACACCTGTTATAAATTATTAAAAGCCCTGTCCATTTCCGGGATCTAATTTCATTAACCCTTGTATTCCTTCTCGTCAATGTAGAATGTTCCAGATGAATGGCTGGATCACCATATTATTGACTAGTAGGGGAAACAGGAGAGAGTGTTAATAAAACGTCTGCTTCTACATGCTCATCCAGTTTATATTGATGCCCTTGGATTAATCTTGCTCTCAAATCTTGTTCTACATTTTATGATAAAATCATTATGTTTTTTTGTAGCCAAGAATGTGTATTTTGAAATATACATAAAACGTTGATGGGGAAATTTTACATTTTCAAACATAAGTGTTTGAATGTAATCCTGAAACTTCAAACAATTCAATTTCAGGTAGAATCTTGATTTGCCATTAAATTGTATCTTGAAGTATGAAGAGTTTTCTTTATGGTACATTGGGTTTATCATCCCTATAATATTCTGATGTGTCCTTGACAGCTAGCGTGTGTCCTTCAAAGCATCATCAACTTAAGGAGGTATGCTACCTTAATGTGGTAATTGATTCCCTCTTTTACAAAAAGAGTTCCACCCTAAAAGAACCTATACATTCTCCTACTGGTATATAACAGATAATTTGGACATGGTTCATTTCAAAATTGATCACACATTTGAAAGATACATGAAAATACTTTGATATTTAGAACATACAGATATGCTAATGATGAGCTAGCTAGCAGTAATGCTTTACAGAAAAGCATTTGTATAAATTGTTTGAATAATGAAACAAATCATGTCTTCATTCCAAATCGGCACAACCCGAAGTAATGATAAAAATTTATGATCAAGAGTTGACATTGTTCTATATTGATATTTACATGTTTTCTTAAATGTTTTGGCCCAAATAAAAATCCTGAATAAATAGTTGAGATTTTACATTATCACCCAAAAAATTGAATATTGAAAATTTAATAAGGAAGTGTTTATCATGTTCTGAAACAATACTTTATCTTCGTTGTTGAGATTTAACAGGCTGATGAATAATTAATCCCTGGTCAGACAAAATGTCCCCGCTTTAGAGTACTTACTTGTAAATATCTGTGTAAATATCCATGGAAGTATATCTGTTCTCCTACATGCTAACCACACAGAGATACCACCATGTACAGCTTCACTAACTTTAGTGCACTAGCCTTTTATTTAACCCACACACGCGCACACTAGCCTGTAGCACCGGTAATGGCGGAAATCATTATCCAGCCTATACCTATCTGTACCAAGAATTACATCATACCCTAATCTTTGAAAACACGAAATATGATGTCATATCTGGCCAAACTCTTTCGAGTTCCAAAGATCAAGAGGCTTGCTATCAGTCAATTAGGAAGTGTACCAGCTAGTCCTCGTTATGTAAAACCTAACAATATATCTCACAGTGGATAAGACAAAAGCACTGACAAATCGTTAAAATCAGATAATACGTTTAGTGTAAAATATAATTTTACAATTTTAAGTCAGTGTTAGGTAAGAATACACCTAAAGCTGGAAATGATTAGATCAGAGATAATACCAGTGCAGTGTTTCTGTCATTAAACACGTTATGTCTTATAGTGTGTGTGCCAATAATCACACTCTGACAGGTGTATAGCAGGGAATGTGTGTCGTGGAAACTAGGTACTATCAACACTGTTATGATAGAAGACTGAAACAGCTTCCAACCCTGTCAACACAAGGACAGAAGAACCAAGACAGTAATACCCTTCCGACAGTGAAACCTTCCTAATGGACTGCGTTCTGATTGTAAAATGAACTGGACTTAAGACCATACCTGTTATCCTGGTTACCAGTCTTGTTCGCGTCTGAGAACACTGATTGGAACATGATGAGGTGAAGAAAACTCCGGAAGTAGTCGTGTGTTTAGAATTGGAGATTTGATTTTCTCCTACTCTCGAATGTTAAGTCAAGTCAGAGCGTACACCGAAATAAAAAAACATTAATTACTCACGGAAACAAGCCGGCACTCCTTGTCTATCTGTGATCAACTTCTGCTCTAAACAGAAGCCACACCCAGAGACTGTAATCATGCAGATAGCTCTCCGTGCCCCTATTGTCAATCCAGATAGCCCTCAACACCCTAATATATGGCCAGATAGGCTACTGTATGGCTCGGTACCCTCTCCTGTCCTATATATGTAGCCAGATTGATAACCCACTGTATGGCTAGCTATAATATAGATCCCATACCAGCATTATTCAGGTATCTCATTATCATCCCATCCTAGTACTGACGTTTCACAACCCAGCATCACTGCCATAGCAAACTCATAAAATCAGCATATGATTTTCAGTGTTAGTTTATGTCCGTATCCATGACGACCAGGTGTAATTGAAAATGTCACAATCAATCTATAGCTATATAACGTGTGTATGTATTAAGGTAGACAGCCCTACAGTCAATGACACAGAAACCAACACTTCACTCGGCTATTGTCACGTTTAAGAGACAGGTGATTTGATCTAGAGCTGATTGTCAAGTTTTACGCAATACAGACGGAACACTTTGATAATTGTACCATGTGACTCCTAACGACACCTTATCGTGTACTGACACATGGCATACAGGTAAATGTATATGCTAACGCAGATGTTACCGAAAGATATATTTGTAATTAATTAAGGAAGTGCAAATCGGCTGTTCTGTGTTAATGTTATTAAAACCCGAAGTATTTTGTGATTCTTTCGATACATATACAAGAAGTAGAGGTGAATGGTTATATAGCTGCAGTGTTATAAATTTTATATTTCGGTTTAAGCAAACAAATGTTAAAATCAATCTTTTGAACTTATTTATATAGGCGGTTGTTCCTTACTTTTTATCAAAACGGTTGTAGTGTAAACAGACAGCTGTTAATTTACAAATAATGGGAAAAATAAACAGCCACACTGATATCGCTAGATAACAGAGCTACACATTGACTAAGGTTTCACTGTAAGTAAGGGAAAGCCTGGTAAATATTGATCTGAATGTATCAATAGCAAAAATAGTATTGGATTAGCATTCTATTATTTTGTATAAACCTGAATATATGTTCTTCAGTAGTATGATGTCTTAGAGAATTCAGCCACACTGATGTAGAAACATGTCACACAAGACACAATGGGTTTATATATTGTGAGGGATATTCCAGCTCAGCGGGAGGGATATTACTAGCTCGGAAGGTCTGTTATTATATATACCTATACACTATACTGAACAGTGATGTATACCAGGGTAACAGCTGGTGTGCTGACAAACACATCTATATTACAACATTCCTTACCTATGACAATAAGATTCTCTATCAAGGTAATGATAAAGGTACAATCCTCCCTGCCCATGTGTCTATAGGTCATGTCAGTTTCAGTAACCTTGGCGAGTCTGTAAAATTCTCCCTTCATTAGGTAATGTCGGTTTCAGTAACCTCTGAAAATTAGTAACACTCCCATTGTCAGTTTCATGCATTCGAGAATTAGTGAAATATCCCTCATCATTTATATTAAGGTCATGTCAATCTTGGAGAACTGGTAAAATCTCCAGTCGTTAGGTCATTTTAGTATCCTACATCAGAGAATTAGTCATGTATCCCATCATTATATGCAATTTACAAGGCTATGCATATCAGGATAAAGTGTATCTATATTTCTGTATTTTGACGATAAGTAATGTCTGCTATATTTGTTTTAAAGTGTTGGTTTCCTTAACCTCTCAAAGTTTCCTCAAACCTCTTGACAATTAATAAGTAATATTTCCTATTATTTTGAAGTGATCAGGATTGTCCATATCGTTATTCAGTGTTTCAGTTTTATTTTTCTCAGTTCCTGACTGACCTCTTACAATTAGAAATACTGCTTATCATTCTTGAATGATCAAGATTGTCCTTTTCATTACGAAGTTCATCAGTTTCTGCAACCTTTAATAATATTTGTAACCTTCTGAGAAATTAGTAACATTTCCTATAACTCTTGAATGATCTATAGGTTGTCCATTTCATTATGGAGTTTGTCAGTTTGTGTAACCTTTTACAGTTTCAGTTACCACTGGACAATAAGTAACATTTCCTAGCATTCTCAGGAATGATAAAAGTTGTCATAATGTCTGTTTCCATAACCTTGGACAATAATGTCTGCTTTTATTCTAGAATGATCAAGTTTGTCCACATCGTTATGAATCATGTACATTTCCATGACCTTTGACAATTAGTAATGACTGCTTTCATTCTGGAATGATCAAGGTTGTCTATTTCATTATGAGTTATGTCTGTTTCCTACCCTAAACAATTAGTAACATTCTGTAATGATCATGTACCTCCAGCTAAGTCCATTCTTGTGTCCGTCGCGTCAGTTTTGGTCTGTGTTGATTAGCCTCACTTCTGCAGGTGTAGCAGAATTATTTGCTCAATGAAAGGGTACAAATCATTGTTATATTGTAAGGGTATGTTACTTCAGTGGGGGTCCCTGTAAGTTAGGGTCCTAGTACTTCTAAGGTATATTGTATATGCACTTATATTTTTTCCACAATTTTTGAATGAGTCTTGTTGTCAAAAATTGATACATGAAATCCCCCAAAGCCTATTCCCATTATGCAAATGAAGTACTTTTGCTGTTAAATACACCACGTTGAAACTATAGCTTTGCATGTGTCACCCCCTACCTGTACATTTGTACCTTACAAGACTTGGAGCATGCACTTTGCAAGTTATATATTCACAAGGTGCATGTTGAAACAAATTTTGCGTGCGTCACTCCCTACCTGAACATTTGTATCTTACAAGTCTGGAAGCATGCGCACTGGAAGTTTAATTTAGAACATGCATGTTTTAACTGATTTTACATGTGTCACCCCATACCTGTACCATGCAGGTCTGACTCAAAAGAGACTTGAAGCGGTCGTATGTCATACCTGTATATACCTGTCAGCTAACTGACAGAACAGAGCTCTACCAGTAGAACACATTTTTATCAGTTTGACAATTTTATAGATGCGACACTGCATTACTCATTCTCATAATCATCAGGTGCACAAAGAAAATACGGGCAGTTTCATTATATTTTTTTCATTGTCAATGACCATTTTGTTGTCTTAAGTCAGCATCCTAAAACAAAGCTTTATTCAAGCCAATTTCAATCTGTTCTATAGATATGAATCATAATATCTTTTTTATAAGAAATGTTTTGTTATTTTTTTCTGAGAAATACATCATCTACCATGACGAAAAGAAACTTTTCATTCCAAAATTTTGAAGTGTGAAATTGACAGATTCGCCTCATCATGGCATTATTGGCTAAAGTTAATGTTGATCCAGTGTTTAGGAAAACTTGCTTGAGAAGTCGCAAAGTAGGTACTGTTAAATCAATTTTTCAGAAAACTTAGTAAAAGTTTATATTTCACTGGTCCTGTCTTCAAACAATCATCAATTGAATCTCAATTTATTGCATCTTAATTGTTAATTTTGATATTTACGTTAATGTTTTTTGTATTATTTTAGGAAGGGTTAAGTTAACAATGCTTTCAATAATTGGTCTACTTTGTGTGCTTACTGATCCTACAGATCACAAAACTAAAGCCAGCTTCTGTTTATCAGTGTTTAAACAGAGCTAACTAAATCTATAAACAAATAGAGTTATTTTCCATCATCCCTTGTCTTGTCTTCAGCAAATCTGAATGAAAACACTGTTCACCCACTGTGTTAGAAATTTATCTAAATCTATAAGCAAACAAGATTGTTTTTCGTATTTTATCATATACCTGCATTATTACTGGCAGAGGTTTCTTACGATCAAACAGATTTATTTTTAGAAACGTTTATGGTGCTTCTCAGAATACAGTCAAACATCATTATTCATCAAAATTGTTTTGGTTCTATGTCAAAGAGTCCAGAGAAATAATGATCTGTCTAGATAAATGTAGCGAAATATATAAATCAATCATCACCTACTTCATTAATTATTTATCTTCCTGGCTCACTAATGGGTTTCTTTCTTCATTGGGTATTTATGGGTTTGGTTAATTTATTGTGATAGAAGATATTTTATATATACCTTGTATATCCAAGCTCTCCGAGTCTACAAATAAATCCAATTGTACTGAAATGAAGTTTGTATATCCTGGCGCATCGTTTGTAAACTTATCCATTGTGACACGTAGTTACCTGAAGATGTCTAGATCTGGACTAGCCTGTCTGTACGTTTGTGACAGCTACATGTAGATTAGACCCAGTTTTTATCACAAGTGTACCCAACGACCCTTACTGTGATAACCAATATTGAAAGTTTGTGACATAGCTGTTGATAGAACGTTAAACAATACTAAACCAAACCATCTGTTACAACAGAAGTGGACGTACGACTGCTCTTTGTCTAATACCCTTGATCTATGTCAAATATGTAGATAGCTAATGGAGGTGAATGCTGTATTTAGGTTTACATAATTTGCATATTGATTAAGCCCATCTTATAATAAATTTTATTACAATGCTTCATATAATTAGTTTTTTAAACAATCCGACAAAGATAAATGTAATCTTGTTGTGTAACTTCATACATTTGACAGACATTTGACTAGGTGACTTTTTACAGGTTATTCATAATGTGTATATGCTGCGAGAATTAAAAAATAATTCTGACGTCATGAAGAAACAAAATCTTTCTTTTGTGGTTTTGTCTTGGCAGTTGTGGTAAACCAAACATATATTTACTGCATCAAACAGGATACAATGACATGTATTACGTCCTTAAAAAAATTATGTTAATTTATTTTTAAGACCATGTTGGACACATGCCTCTATTCAGTATGTCCCTTTGTAGTAGAGTGTATGCATGATGTCATCAGGGTTTGCTGTAAAAATAGCCTGACATTAAAAACCTCGGGGAGGGCACCGACAGCTAAGGTAGAAGGGGGGATCATATATAACTCAATGATGTGTCCTTTGTCCCATAGAAATACAATGTAATCAAATGTTACCAGCCAACTGAATTCCTCGCCATCACTAGTCAGTGCCAACTCAAAGTATTGTTAGCATCATAAATCAGTGCCTAGATTTTTTGAATTATCTTTCTTTGCCTTTCATGTCGTAAAATATACAAGAAAATCTGAAATTTTATGGCGATTATTTTCAGTGGCACATTTTAAAATCTTCTACATGCTACTTCAATAACGTTTACATTCGTTTGTTCTTGGAAAAGTCCAAAAAAGATTCATTTCTACATTCTATCATATCTTGGTTCTCCCGTTTCTAAGCCAAAGGAGAACTCCCTGCTGTTGATAATGAGTTTCATCGGAATTTATCGGAACCTTGGAAAGATAAAAGACATTGACCCCTTATACCTGGAACACTGTTCTCTACAGCAAAGTTCCCGGTTCTTAGAGGGGGCCTATTTTCTCTGTTTGATAGCGCAATTATTTTCAAAGGATACAAAACCACAAAAAAGTTTCCTCCCGAGATTGGATATAAAACATTGTGGTGTGTTTTAAATAGCAATCAAACGCACACCTGCAGAATGTGCATCTGCCATTTCTAAAACGTAATGGTTAGTGAGTGACTTATACATTTGTGAGGGGTAATGGAAGTAGTAAGGTCCGGT